ATTTTCTCACAGCACTGTATGTCCGTTTGTCTATATATATCTGATAAGCAATTTCTAGATAGACCACCTGTTTTCCAGCTCCGAGATATCACTCTGTAGTCGTAGGTAAAACTTTTCCGCCTGGGAGAAAAGCTGCCTAAGCAGCAGCACATTGGTGTGGGCTGTGTTGATGAGCTCCATCTCCACCTCCCCACGCACCACCGCCTGCAGCTCGTCCAGCATCTCCTTCACCTCGTCCACTGTGAAGGTTTCCTCCACAAGCCTTCACAAAAATGCACGTAAATTGGAAATGTTTCAGGTACATCTGAACCGAAAAGCACTTCTAATTTCATTTTCCCTGCATATCTACTTTACATAGACAACTGAACGGAAGTAACGTGAGAAAAGAGAAGAAATGACCAGTCACCTGCTATCTTTGAGCTCCTCGAAGCATGAGTCGATAGTTTTGAGCCTTAGAACTCTCTTTGAACGTGCAAATCGCATATAATTGATGATTTCATTCTGATGGTGTTCATTAAATCCAAATTCAGCCTACACGAAGATAAGAGAAATTTGATTTTAAGCAAAGATCGGCACACAGAATAAAAAATGAACACAAATAAGGTGCACATAAACAAGCAGATAATTAGCTAACTTGAAGAGGATTTTCTCTTGCTAATATGCAGCAGGGCCTTTTCACATGGGCTTGCACATCCAGCGTACTATTTATGTATATAAAGGGTTGCTCGCTAACATTAGCGGTTCACTCGTCTTGTGATTCAGCTTTAGAGCACAGGACTAGGCGTTTAGCATGCTAAACTCCTAAAAGCGAACAGGTGGCCTGTACAGCAAATCATTTCAGCTACTTACCATGATGGCTGTGCAGCTAACGTTAACGTAACTAAGTTAGCTAGCTTGAAGACTGAGCTGCTCCAAAAGAGGGGAAAAAATGGGTTTTTCTGGCTATAATTTAGATCATTCAGTGAGCAGACTGAAAACCAGCGGTGAAATGCTGGAATCGAGTGTTCTTGAAAATCTCTTATAATTACATTCGACGAGGCTAAACAAAGGTTATATGACAGCTATAAGACTATCAAGCAGATTTGCTAGCCTCCTAGCAGCTAGTGTTTGCATTGAGAATGCCTTGGTAACGGAAAAGAGCGTCATCACCTTGGTTACCAGAGGTGCATTCAATGGCGCTACGTAAAGATTTGAAACAAAAAGTGAATCCCAAATCAACATTAACTGCCTCATCTTAACAACATTTCATATACACACGTGTGTGATATTCACTATAAGATGTTTTTTTAACTGGTTTTAATTTAAGGGTAGTTGTTTAGTCTTGTTGTTGTTCTACGTTAATTCGATCTCTGCCTTTAACTGCCTCAGAAGTAGTCGGTAATCAAGTCATTCAGTTGTCTGCTTCGCAATTCAGTGTTTTGACAAGATTCATCCCAGTCAAAATTTCAGCCCCACTAAAGAACTAGCCCATTTGTGAAAGCCTATAAACACATGAGAAGCAGAGTTTTGGTGTGTGTTCTATATACATATACACCCAGTCTACATTCAATTAATGCATGTATACTGTGTCTTAATGTCTGTCTTGGACACACATACACATAATGCAGCTCTTATTTTTGGTGCTACTGAATCTAGAGCAGTATTTAGATATCGAACATCTCCCGATCAGGATGATTTTCTAAATGGATGACTATTGGCGATCATATGACTATTCAGTTTCACCATTTTTTTGGCATCCACATTTCTACCCTTTCTAGTTGCAGATGGGTTTGCACTGAATGTGACTGATGGTCAGTCATAAACTCATTATAAGACTGAATTGACAGCGCTACTGTAGCACACCTGATTGAGCACCGGTGTGCTTTGAGTCCTCATTGCAGGGGTCTGAATCTGATCCAGGCCATTCCCTGTGTCATTCCCCTTCACTCTCTCCCTGCCTTGCTGTCTATTGGCTGCACTGTGCTATAAAGGGGAGAGAATGGATTTATGTTCTGACAACTCTCCCCCTTCATCTTTCAAATCTTCTCTCTCATTGAGATTCTCTGAGTAGAGATTCTCACCATCTTGCTACTTGTTGTGTCTCATCACTGATTTGCAGCTGTGAGAAAATATAGGGTGATTCCCAGAAAACAGAGGATAAAATGTGTGGGACTGTGGGAACAGACAGATGTATGTCATAGAAATGTTGCAATAGTGAAGCCTTATGCGGGAAAAATAGGAACAGAATGACATTACTCCCTCCCACACAACCCCCAACCCCCACACACCCCACGCACACACACACACCCACACACACACACACACACACACACACACACACACACACACACACACACACACACA